AGGTCAGATGACATCTGCATGCAACCAAATTCCAGCAGAAAGGCAACGATCCTACAGATGTCAACCCTCGGTTCACATTCCGATATGTATGTACTTCCAATATTTTTGGACGTTGACGCCGTTGACGCCCTTAATCTGATGGATCTACCAAACATCGTCAACCGAACCACCAAGTAACAACCACTAACAAGTCTTGAAAATTGAAACTCCCTGCCCTTACCCTCTTGCCAAAGATGATATCCAACCCTTACCTTCACCCCACCGGCCCTACGGCATGACCCCGGTCTCATTACAGACCCAATCACCATGCCTTAAAACCTGCATCTGTCTCTGCATTTCTCCCGGCACTTACTCGAATCTGAACTCCACCGCGTTTTGCGACCCCGCTCAAGATACCATAGCCCGCCCCGCTCCACCACCCTGGTTTCACAGGCTTGGACCCACCAACCCACCACTTGGCCTCTTTCCAGGCAAATCTCCTCGCGTGCAGTGGTTTTGTTTGCCTTATGGATGGTGGAGCCTATCTTTTAGTACGCTTCCAGGGACCAGGATGGCAGGTTCATTGATCATGCGACTACCATGCGCTATTAAATCCCAGCCACATCATGAAATCTTACTAGCTCAAATCATGATACAACCTAGGTAGGTAGTACTGTACAGACAGACCATGGTTACACCAAACACCAGCCTCGGTCAATATATTGTTGTCCAGTTGTCCCTTCATGTTGGCGCTTAAAGTTGACGCTTTGATAAATTGGTGTTTGTGTTTGCATTGACTGCCATTGAGAACGAGTCAAAAGTAAGACCATTAATTTATGTTGAGCTTTTGAGGACACTGAGACTCAAAGACTTGAAGTGAGTTATGAAATAAAAAATGTAAACTAAACGATAGATGCCCAAACTAAGCGAGAAAGCAAACCAGCCCAGCCAACTCAGTAAGGATTTCCATCAAGCATTAAACAAATCTTGAAGCAGCGTACCAAAATCTATGGGGTGGAAAAACAATTCCCGAGAGATCCTATTCATATATGCCATATCGCCAGGGACATGATGTCCCCGACGCTCTGATCCTTTGTTCTAGAAATGGAATGGAAGGATAATTCACAAACCACTGACCAGATATCCAATGAGTGCGGCAAGAACAACCAAGGATAACCTAACCTTTTCTTCAATCTGGTTCAATCTGCTACTACTTGTAAGTCGCAAAGCCTTTTGCATACATGCATGTTCCTTCAAACATTTCAAACTACTCCGTATAACTCGCGTGTGTCAAGTTCATTCTGAATATCTTAATTTCTTCTGGAAGGCCACATAGAAGGCCGCATTTCATGTTGAACATGTGCTCGCTCCTTCGTTTACATGTACATGTAGGGTACAGTATACTGTACAATATACAATGTACACAACCTACTTTCATCACACCGCCTCGATGAATTCCAATCCTCATCATGTACGGACTACCCCATCATATACTTTGGAACCAACAACAGTGCATCAACTAATCAAGATGGCAACCCCCAAGCTTAATCGAACAAGTTCTTGCGAGAAATGACAAGGAAATGCCACGCGAGGGATGGTCATGAATGGATCATACAGTGGAGATTTCTGTACCTATGTAGTAGTATGATGAGGACCAGTAATATGCAATGCAATGTCATGTACGGCGATACATTCTACGCACATGCTTGCACAAGCATATGATATATATTTCGTAACGTAACACCAAATCCATTTGGGGTATCCATCGCCAATTTCATTCCATATTTCCATATCGCTTCAAGCTTGCTCGGAAAATCGGAGGTTCGGACGAAATCCCCCAGCCGAATCCAGAAATTCCGAAGCCAAAAAGACAAGCGCTGCGGAGGTTGCGTAACGGGATTCGTCGCAGTCTCGCAGCAGCCAGCGTGAAATTACTTACAGGTACCATCACTTAAGATTTACATCGAAATCCCCATTCAGCAGCGGTCCAGGATCCATAATAGAAGGGCTCTTAGTCACGATCGGAGAGTTCCGCTCGGTGCGCCAGCGGTTCATTACACAATCCCAACTCTATTTACTGGAGCTCTCATCTTGCTTGTACCGAGTGGGAATGCTTGGTATTGTCTACCGAACGCCTTTACCGAATATATTTGGAGGGTAGATTGTCGGCCTTTAGTTTCTGCAGTTGGGAGATTCTGCATAGTTAGATAGAAATGATATTCGGATATATCACTAGTTCTTCAAGAGCACTGGTATCAAATGAACCAGAACCGTTGGATTTCTAATCTTGGCCCGCGAAGCTGCATCTAGATTTTCGATTCTATCTTGGCTAGAAGACTTTGGAAATTAGATACCGGATGTTTTACAGGAATTACAGTACTTTATTGTACAATATATTTGCAAATTTGTAGTAATGATTTCGATCATTAAGAATACCAGATCTTTAATAGGAATTATAGTACTGTACAATGTACATCCAGCAATGATTTCGGGACGTCAAGAATACCGAATACCGATTACATAAATAGTCTCGGAACGCCATGTATTTTCGGGCGGGAGAGCAATACTGTACTGTATGCACCATTTCCCATGCGAATTAGTGTGCAGTACCGAGATGGCAGTTTTGATACCTAGGAAAGAAGTGTATATATTGATTTCCACACGGAGATTGATGAGATAGAAATAGAAGTAGAAATAGAAATAGAAATAGAAATAGAAGTAAAAAGTAGACGAATAACAGCGGCCTATTTATCCAAAAATAGACAAATCATAATTCATATAATTCATTCATTTTCATCCATAAGTTCAACTACCTAGATAGTTCATACGATACCAGGTACCTACGGTGACGGGTCGGAAGTTGAAGTTCTACACTGCGAAATACCAAACCCGCATACATACATACATACCTACTCGTATACCAAGAACCATCCATCCATCCATCAAAGATTCAAAAGCAGGGTCCAGCCAGCACTAACAACTAACACCATACCAGGATTTTCCCTCTTATGTATCTCAAATTCGAAATTTGACCTACCTACCTACCTAGGTATGTACTTGTATTTCAAATTCTCAATAGTACTGTAACTTCTACTCGCTTCCTAACCTTACTAAACATAATTCCCAAAATGGACATAACATAACATTACTATTACTACTAGTACAGTATTACAATATACTTTCGCAATTGCCAAACACGAGCGGGAGCGGGATATCGATATCGATATACTTTTTCCGCCCCTCTCCTCTGCTCTCCTCTGCTCTCCTCTCCTCTCTTCTCGGTGGAAATAAATAAATAAATGCTATGTTTAAATTACATTACGAGTACAGTACTGTACGTCTGTACATCTACTGTATATCCATATCCATATCCATCCATCCCAGCCTTCGATTCGGTCCCATCATTTTGGATTTTACTCGAGTATATGCTACTATGTACTGTATTTACTCGTACTATACAAGTACTATACGAACTGTACATACGCCGTACGGTATAATGAATTTTGAATACTCAAACTCAAACTCAAGATATAAAAATTTAAAGATTTAAAACTACTCGAGTACACTTTTTCACTACTCTATATATGATATATCACCTATCTAGTTAATATCTACCTATCGTGCAATCTCCTCTTCGCTCTCCATTAGTTCCCTTCCCTTCCCTTCTCACCACTTCTCACCCCTTTCTCCCTTTATCATTAAACTCCTGATCCCTTTTCACCCCTCTCTTACCCCCTCTCCTCCACCTCTCCACCCTCTCACTCCTTCCACCATCTCACCCCTTCTACCATCTCTCCCCCTTAACCCCCCGTGCCCCCCGTGCCCTCCCATTTCCTCCCATTTCCTCCGCTCCCCTTGTTTCCTTCTTTTTCTACCATCTCACCCCCACCCCCTTCTCCCTCCCCATCTCCCTCTCATCCGCACTAACAAACATCCTCGACCTCAACTCCTCCATCCAATCTATTGAGCAATTTTAAATCTAAAGTTTCCCCTCTTTGAATTTCCTTTACACCCATCACATCCAATACACACACTACACAACTATCTACTCGAATACAAGCACAGATAACAAAAGAAATTCAATATAATGTCAATCTTCCATTCTTGGACACTACACTATACTACACCACACTATACAATACCGCACTGCCACTGCCACTACCACTAAAGCTATATAAAAAACAGTACGTGCGAGTGTCGAAACATAACATTCAAATCTCCTCTCCTCTCTACCTAACTAAGCAAATCCCATCCCATCCCATTCCCATTTTCCATTCCATTCCCATCTTGCAATGCCCCCAAGCAATAACAATCCATCCAGTGTATTTATTTTTTCCATCCCCAAACTATTTGACCCCCAACTCCAGAATCCATGACCAAAAGAGTTTCGTCTTCGTAGCCCCTCAATGACATATCCAAAATGATATTCAATGATTGACCACTCTAAACCCATACATACAGAAAAAGTTCAAATCCTATCAATCTATTGAACCGACCTATAACGTCCTTTCTTCGCAAATGATGTATAGCCCTCGAGCAACTTCTTATAGAGTATAAAAAGCAAGGAAAGCAAGTAGCCAAATGAAAACGCCGAACTTTTTATTTTCGATAAAATAACAAAAGGAAATGAGGTATTAGGAAACTGGTGATATACGCAGGAAAATAATCAATGTATATAAGATCCAGCCAACGATCGGTTGATCAGTCATCCTTTTGATAAAATTCTCCAAAGGATAGCAAATATGTGTTTGCCTTTGTCAAGTTTCATCGCAGTCGACTGAGAACCATCATTTGCCTTCTTTCATACTGATTCAGTCTAAGTCGGGGTATAGTCTTTTAAATCCGTCTGTGTGATTTATAACTCCGCCCAATATGTAAAAGTTTTGTTTGGGAAACGCCGGTAAGATATTGAAAGGGCGACTTTTGAGAAATTCGTTACTCGTGAGGGGGCCATGACCAAGGTCGAAATCATGTAGCGTAGTCCAGGAAATGGTCGGGAATCGGAGTTGAGTATATATATCTCACATCATGCTTTCTTCACCAATACCAGGTAAACCTGTCATGGGAACTCCGATACCACCCAATCCAACAGATGCTAAATGGTTATTCAATTTGAGATCGGGGTCGCAGGGGGTTGAATGTTGTTTGTGCTAAGTTTCATTAGCAAGATTTCTCAATCTGAAGAAAATTGGCGATACTCACATATTTGAGACCATTCAAATTCTTATATCTCTTGCCGCAGAAATCACACTTGTATGGCTTCTCTCTTTCCATGCCCTCGTTACCTGAGTAGGGAATGGAAGTTTCTGGATTGACAATTGAGAATGTACCATCGCCGTTTTCGTGCAATTGCTGAGTTTGGTGACCGTGTGTCTTGTGATACCTGTACCAAATTAGCATAAATTGGATTCGACCGGATAAAAGTACTTACTTGAGACCATTTTGATTTTTGTAGGCCTTTTCACATCCAATGACAGGGCATCTAAATGGCTTGTGCTCTTCTCCCATCATTAATCCTGTAGAGTCCATGCCATTCATGCTTGCCATCAATTGCTGTTGCTGGTATGCTCTCATCAAATCTGCGTTATTTGCGAATTGTCCCTGTCCTAAACCAAACTGTGCAAATTGTTGTTGAAGAGCTCTCTGGCTATTGAAACCACCACCATTAGGACTGTAGAGACGCTTGGCGGGTTCGTCGATACAAAGGTCCAAGCCTAAATCGTTCACTCCACCGTAATTGAAAGGGTAAGCGACATTATTCATGTTCATATTTCGGTTTCCCATGTTCATATTCAAAGACATGTTGATATAATCTGATTCCAATTCCGTGGGCGAATTGGGAGCCAAGAGATCTGGAGGAAATGTCTGTGATTGCTGTGTGGGTTGTGCCGTCAAAGTAGGGGTATTAACAGAAGAGACAGTCGGGTTATTTTGGAATCCAAAGGAGGAAGCTGCGGGAGTAGGTGGCTGGGATGCTCGGAGACCAGAGTGTTGCATGGTAGAGTTAAGATTAATGGTGGGTCTTGGTTGCTGACCGAACCTAGACTGTTGTGCTGCCTGTACAGGTTGATGATTATGTGATGCTTGAACCGGTGTATCCGAAGTTGAATCCATAGGTCCGATAGCGTCGTCCATTTCCATATCCTCAACTCCGTCCATCTCATCGGTAGCACCTTGACTGTTTTTTTGTATAGGAGTAGCTGGTTGTGAGCGTTGCTGTTGGCGCATCAATTGGATACCTCCTACGCTTGCACCGGCTTGTGGCATCTGTAAACCCGAAAGCCGAGGCTGTTGTGATGGCTGGTTTTGATGCTGCTGAGCATGATGTTGTACGGCGGATGTGGTTTGTGCTGCAATAGCTGCTCTACCGTTGGGTGTTGAGTTCTCGCGAGCTCGTACAATGGATGAATTGTTTCGAAGTGATGCTGGGGTCTGCTGCGCATGAGACTCTTCGTAATGAAGTAAAAGGTCATGTAGTGTTGCTAGTATGAGACCACAACAGTGGAAGTCTTTCATAAATTGAGCTTCGAGCTTGGGAAGATATGAAAAAGAATTATATGCCGACGATTGAGATGGAACAAATGGTGATGTGCCGGCCATAATGATACTGTTCAAAATTGTCAGTGTCATGAGAATGGAAATGGTGTGTGCCCCGCGCACTTGACATGGCGCCCGAAACGTTTTGTTTGTCAAGTGCGATGAGCGAAGAAGGAACATTGTTTGTAGTTCATGAGAAAGATCGAATAAACATACTCATCTCGAATCCAGCTTCCAACAGAAACGCCTCCCCAACTCATAGCTCCAACAAGGCTACCTGCCAAACTTTCACGACGAGGACGATCATTATTTCTATTTGGGTTGTTCATAGAAATGGGTTTGGCTACTGCAAATGACTGGTGTGGTGAGCGACTCATATTATCTTCATATCTCGTACCGGTGGTCATGATTCTTGCAGAATAATGTGAATCGAGGTCGATATAATTGGGATTTCTTTGATTTCCTTGAGATATCGGAGGTAATGGCGATGACGAAGCGTTTGAAGTTGGTGTGGCAATATTTATAGGTGACGAAGTTGTCATGGTAGACTTTAATTGTGAAGAAGTAGAAGATGAAGATGAAGATGAAGGTGAAGAAGAGGAAATAGGATTTAAATCCAGAGATGAAGATGAAGTACTAGTAGATGGTAGTTGTAATTCAAAAGACTTCTTCTCCTCGTACTTTAGTTTAATCCAAAAGTCTGAATAGGTAGAGGAAGGAGACCGGTGGTAGCAGTTATCAATTAATGTTATCGAGGAGTTCTTGGCGGGTTTCTTCGCATATGGCGGCGTGGGATTGTTTGAACCAGTTGGAAAGATGCATTAAGGTGGGTATAATTCGGTACTAGGATTAATCCAATTAGTTTCCATATATTCCTTGAATTTTAGTGAATTTTAGTTCCCAGCTAAGCACTTAGCCGAGTAATAATTACATGGTAGACTATTTTAGTAGCTTGAATTGGATAACTTTTGTGAATTGGATGAATTGATTGGGAATAATTGAGGGTGGAGGGGTCGGACGATTGTGCGAGCGAGGTGAAAAAGAAGTGGAGTTGATGCGAAGTGGGAACTTTCACTTATAGTATACTAAAATGTATTTTGCTCCATTAAAAGTAGAGGCGAAACAAGACGACTCAAGTAGTAGGGCAGGGCAAACTAAATACAATTGGGCAATCTTGGAAGAAAACACCTACCTAATTGGGGTTTGACGGAATTTTAGTTCGTTCTTGTGAAAGTCTGGGTACTTTACAGGTAGGTATTCTTAAGACTGTGATGAATGAATATCGCAGGATTGAAGTTGGTAGGTGAGATTGTTTGGAAAAGAAGAATCAATAATGTATTGATAGATGGATGGATGGATGAATATATGAATGTATGAATGTATGAATGTATGAATGTTTGAATGTATAATGTATAATGTATGAATGTACGAGCAAACAAATTACTTGTATATTCTGTAATTCGTAGTAGCCGTAACTGAAGGTGTAAGAGGGTGTCTGCTGCTGGAAAGCGGATCGATTATTGCCAGGTGTATAACAATTCTGATACTTTTGTTTCCGTTGGGACAGGTTATCTATAATATAGTTATAGTATAAGTAGCGAGTAAGTGAAGCCGGGGTTGCAACTAGATGAAGGAGGTAGTATCGTGGCGCGAATACCGGTAATTGATGGGATACCGTATTTAGACTCCTGGACTCATGGGCACAATCGCTGTGGGTAGAGGTGGTTTGAAAGTGGTAGATGGATACACACAACAAGAGAGGTAGGTACCTAGGTAGGTCACTTGCTAATGTAGAGTATATAAAAATGTATTGTAGGTGGGGGTCTATAAACTTTATTTAACGAATTCTCAACCGGAGAAGGAGGTCGGTCTTCTGTCTTCTGAAACCAGAGTAACGATTAATCTTTGAAGTGATGAATGTTTCGTTCGGATTATCATAGACCGATGTTGGTTAGTGGTCACTGGTCAGTGAAAGGTCAAGCATTTCGTCGGACGTTTACAAGGCTCCAGGTCTCATTATGTTTGGTCCCAACGCTTCGGATGAGATGCAATAGGGATCCGCAGTTAATCTTTCTAGAAGCTTGGAGGATTCCATTTATGATGATGTGTATTTCTAGATGTGGATAACCTCGAACCTTATATGCAGCCTACGTTATGTATGAGACAATATTGAATACCTCATATATCTATATTATATTCCGGATTTATTTACTTCTATTATCCGAATCCTTCAATGTGATAGCTCATATGATGAATATACGGTGAGATGAAACCGAAGGCCCTCCTTTTTCTCGTTCGCCAAATCTAAGCGGTGTGGTCCCGCTATGAAATGCCGATGTTGTGCGACGGCGGGATGGAACCGATGTAGGATTGGATCAACGGAATGCTCGGATCTCCTGAGGCTCTATACTTTCTCCCTCAGCAACGGCCGTTTTGATAGATCTTGACAGATCACTAAATCAGTGTGGCGCATTTAGATCATTTAGATCATTATTGAGTCGTGCTATCTCGGCCTTCGATGGGAATAGAGTTAGAGGATTAAGTGGTTGTGTTTGAAAGCCGTCAATCATTACTGAGTATGATATTCCCTTCCAGATTATCAAATGTTTCAAGGTGGACAGACAACAAGCCTTGGTTCATAGAACTTACGCTTTATTGTACAAGACTATCAATCCCACCGGACTGTCACAGACAATATTTAATAATATACAAAGCGTTATTATAATTCCAATTATTTTGAAGCACTTACTGATATTTATTATTAGTCTTTATATTAGAATACAAAACCTTGTCATCTGAACGTTAGTCTCTATACTTATGGGTTTACAATTACAGCCATGATCCTAATCGTTCGAACACGATTCATGGTAAAGTTCGGCAATTGGCAGGTGGTAACTTACCAAGGACTTGATTGATTATTTGTTTGCCTTCGTTAAATTATGCTTTCTTTCGTGATGATATGATGGATAAGGTTAAGATCAAACCCAAATTCTAAACTCTACCTACTTTAGTATTTGATCAACAGGATGGGAAAGTTGACATCCTATGACAGTTATCGAGAATCTACCTATCATTAGGAATAGACGACGTACCTTCGCTCATCTATCTACTCGACAAGCTTGAGTCCAGATTAAAAAGTCGCCTTCAGATTATGACTCGTAACCGCATATGATATAGCATCACGTGATATAACCAGATGGAGGGGTCGAGATCAAATGCCGAGATGAGGTATTGTATATGGAAACGTCGGGTCGATGTTACAACAATAAGAAATTCCCATTTTCAACATTATTGAGCAATAATAATACGACGATATGTTAATATGTTGGTGTCTCACTCGAAGATATACACACATTCTATATCATATAAGCACAAGCACAATATCAACAACGTTATCAAACCAACCAATGTTAATGAAGGGAATGGAATTTTCTCGGAGATCGTGATTCGGCATCCCATATACATAGATACTTTTTACACTTTTATACTTACATCATCATGAATTGCTACAATACAGTATAACAACATGAAATTTAAAATTTCCCGGGCTTTGAGATGAGATTGAAAAATCAATACATATACTTTGAATTGTCCATCAAGGAATTGAAGATTCTAGTTATCAATATAAAATACCAGAATTATCAATTGATTATCGATAATAGATACAACCCAACCAATATACTCGAATACAATTTTCCTAAACCATATCATAGCTCCCTTCCCTCCCCCACCTTAAAGAAAGAACTTTTGAACGACATCATCAATTCATCGACTGACAGCTTACTAACGACCCATCTTCCCATTTCTACGAAACATACGATTTATTACTTGTAGGAAACCAGATACACCAACAACTACCACCAACAACTACAAAAGCTATCAATTTACAGCTCAAGAACATTTTCGATAATAAATCTCAATATTAACCTATCGAATCATATCCAAGCTACAAGGAAACAAATAAATAGCTTGTCACGAAGACCCCTCTTACAATCACAAACCCTACTATATAAATCATGAAGATTCTTACCAAGGAAGAAGAAGCTAACCATTACAATGCCACTTTAAAGGGTGGTATTGCAGGAGGTCTTCTTGGTCTCGCAGCGGTATGTATTCACCAGCACTCTCAAATGTTCAAACCGACAATCAAGCTGACCAACTGCCCAGGGCGGATCAGTACTCTATCTAGCCAACGCCCGATTCCATACCATTCGCGGTCTCACGATCCCCATGAAAACTTTCCTTGTCACATCCGCGGGTACGTTCTCTGCCATCATAAGCGCTGATCGCTCATCTCGCGCCTACGAATGGAACCGCGATCCCGCGCGAAACTACAAAGACAAATCCACCCTCCTTCTCGAAGAACAAAAGGCCAATGAAACTATCGCCCAGCGATTCAAGGCATGGGGAAAAGAAAACCGATATTCAATTGTCACCGCATCGTGGGTGGCTAGTATGGGAGTGGCATTTGGATTAGTATCGAAAAACAAATACTTGACTGGGAAACAGAAATTGGTCCAAGCAAGAGTGTATGCGCAGGGATTGACACTTGCAGTATTGATTGCAACAGCGGCATTTGAAATGGGGGATGCAAAGAAGGGGACAGGAAGGTGGGAAACGATTATGGTGTTGGATCCGAATGATCCGGAACATAAACATTTGATCGAGAAGAAGATTCATCATGAATCTTACGAGGGAGAAGATTTATGGCGTGGTATGTTTTTATTCTTTCGAATTCACTCTTGTAACCGATTGGATTAATACTAATGGACATCCATAGATATGGTAGAAACCGAAGAGCGCCGCATAGAACAGCGCAAGAGGACAGCGGAAGAAAAACGCCACTCCTCGGGCAAAATGGCCAAGGGCAAAGAAAACAAAGATAAAATCTCTAGCGAGATGAAGAGTGCAGGCAAAGTAGCATTTGCAGATGCCAAGGAAAGAGAAGATAAGAACCAGGCAGAACAAGCTGAAAAGGAAGCGGATGCCAGGAATGAATCAGCACAGGCGGAACCACAAATTAATGGTAGGAATCAAAATTAGTTGTTTGATTGCCGAATCTTTCGCGTGTTCTGTTGTCGATTGGGAGGGCGTGTTGAGTTATATTATAGATGGCGGGGTAATCAAAATGGATAGGACGGTAGGGAGGGTAGGGTAGAGAAGCAATCTCTCTGTATATATTTCAAAATTTGTATGTATGTATGAATAGAATAGAATAGAATGATGAACGGCTATCTCAAGCAACCTTCGTCCATTTCATTTCATCAATTTGTATCATTCAAGTTATGCATACATATAATGATGACTATCATCATTTCATGGCAAGTGCCAACTACATAAGTTAACTAACTACTAACTACTATATCAAATCAAACAACAAAGTCAAAATTCATAAACTAAACCTCTCTATATCGTATCCCAACTCTCCCAGCTATCATCTATGTAATCTTACGTTCAAATAAATAATCACGGGTTGGTTGGTTTGGTTGGTTTATCTAGGTTTAGCATCTATCTTTTATCTCTTCATCTCTTCATCTTTAAATCCTAATATTTAGGCATTTTAATATTTAAATCATCCAGTCGAAAACTCGAAGCGAAGACTCGAGGCCTCAGGATCTTTGAAGTTTTTCTAATGAGAATAAGGTGGGATGGGATGGGATTGGATAGAGAGGGAGTGGAGATGGACATGAAGTCCTTTTTCAAAAAGAAAAGCATGGCAATATTGTTGGGATGTTTGTAAATGCAGATTAGATGGATGGCCGATTTCGGATATATTTACTACGAGTATGCTTGATACGATAGTTGGTGCAGTTGTAGTTGCAGGTAGATTGGGTATGTGCAGTGCCGGTAACCTACTCGGCAAAAGTTTTTTTTAAAAAAAGTTTAGGGGAAGTGTTGTGTTGTGTTATGATTATGGTTATAGTTATGGAGCGTGTGCTTGTTCTTGTGCTTCTTTCTGGTAATGAAAGTCTTTCTGATGAGATGGAGATGCAGATGGAAATAGCAGTGTTTGTTGAGGGTTCAAATCATTTATACATTTGGGGTACGTACTGTAACCTAGTACTACCATGTCATACCTCTTGTTCAGTTAAAGCTATCTGAATACATGAATGAATAGTGCTTCTTGGAATACTAACTATCACTCCCGCGCGCACAGCGATCTAGGGGATAGATGTATTGATATTAAGTTGTACTTGAATAGATAGATATATATCTAGTGCTGTAGCTGCATATATGGTTATAATTACTCTACTCGGACATTCAATCAAATTTGTAAAGTGAATGAAGATTGTGTGAATCTAGGAACTGGGCAAGATGGAGATTGTGAATGTTGATGTTGATGAATATCAACTCGGACTACTCGAGTAGATTACTTTTGGGTTAAGATGAGATAGGAGCTAACTCTGGAATTCAAGAAATAGGAATATGAATAGGAATACCCGCTCCTAATGTCGCTGGTAAGAATCAAATGGGTGGGTTTGAATGGATTGGATTGGAATGGATATGGCAGATTGACTCTTACAACTGACTAGACACACATTGACTTTCTAGTCAAGTTATTAGTTGTGCTGATGGTGATTATTCTCCTGTTTAATATACTCACTCACTACTTTGTGCAAGGATTTGGATTTGATTTTATATCTCAACTTTCAGGCTTGAAGACCGTGAATACTCAACTCCGGAATTATCATTATCATTATCATTATTGACACAAAACAGTAGACGAGATTTGTTAGGGAAATCTCATGTTGGTATTGGGTGGGCCCTGACCGGCTAAATTGCTTTTGGTGCGGAGTAGATGTAACCTAAGGTACCTATCTATCTACCTTCCTTGGCACATTAACCTTTGCAACATATTATGCAATCGGTTGCAAAGGTAAGGTAAGGCAAGGCATGTTCCCACCACCAAAAATATTGAGTGGTTTTCTAGACATTTATTCTTTCGCTCTCGAAGTGCGACACTATGGGAGTACCTTTTGATGTACTTACGGCCAGGGCCACAGAACTGAAGTCACTGCTAGACACTGGCTCCACGACAAGTGTGGAAATTGTAGAAACATATATCTCGCGCAGATCAAGAAGCACAACCGTGCCGGTGCACAGCTCCATGCTATCATTTCGACCCCTACGAAACAACAACTGCTTGATGTTGCTCAAAGACTTGACCAGGAGCGCAAAACTGGCAAAATTCGAGGACCTCTTCACGGAGTTCCTATCATTGTCAAGGTAACGCGGCTTATGAATTGCTCTCGAGAATCTCCATGCTTACGAAATCTCCCAAGGATGCCTTTGCGACCGTTCCATCTTTGGGAATGCCGACTACCGTTGGTTCCTATGCCCTCATAGACTCTCGACCAAAGAAAAATGCGGCGATTATTGACGTGGTGAAGCAACCTGTTTTGCTACAGAGATTTGGACTAATCGTTTTTACAGTTGATCCAGAATGGCCTTATCATCCTTGGCAAGACCAATTTAACGGTATGTTATAACTAAACATCGATGCAAGTGAATTACACCACTGACGTAGGTACTTAGGAGTTCTGCGGTTTCAAGTATGTTGCAAAGATGCTCTGTTCACTATCTTCAACTTCGATCGATGAACCCCATAATCTTCACAAATTTATCGCATCACGCTGATCATATACAAAGAGGCACAGGTGGATGGTCTGCGGTTGAAGGCATGTGCCAATCACCCTACATTTTAGGAGGGTTCAAGAAAGGAGAAAAGCGTAGAGGGGAAACAGTGTCTTAAAAACATGTCACAGAAAATCAAACATTGACTTTTATCAGGCGCCCGGTGGCTCGTCGACAGGATCCGCCGTAGGAGTTGCCGCAGGATTCTGTCCAATATCTTTGGGTACCGAGACATCTGGGTCGTTAACTTCACCAGCAAGTCGGGCAGCATTGCAAGCATTGAAGCTCACGCCAGGATCAGTATCCATGGAAGGTGTCTGGGAAGTTGCTAGTACATATGATACTGCTGGTGCAATGGCCAAATCAGTTCTTGATTTGGCTCTTGTCAGTGATATGCTTCTTCGGACTACTAGAGGAGGCTGCAGCAAGGTCTCTCTAACTAAAAGCATAAGGAGCAAGTGGCAAGGACTTTCTGTGGGCTTTGTTGATATCGAGAAGTGGCGTCTGCCCCTAGAAGCTCGAGACCCGGATCCCGGATATGATGAGCAAAGCGTTTGTTATATGTACCATACCGATTCAAGCCAAATGCTAACTACTCACAGTTCGCTGATTATCAACGAGCCATACAGATGATCCAAGAACACGGTGGAAGAGTGGTTCATCCAGTTCACATCACTCCCCCCGAAGAATACATAGTGGATTCAGAAGGCGGCAATGTTGATGATTTGATGGATAATATTATGAGTTTGTCAACCAGTGATATCAATCTTGTGCGGGACTAATTGCTTTCCAGGGAGCCAAGCACGAGACGGATGTAAAAAATACCTGTCTAGTCTTGAATACAGCAAAGTCAATGATTTGAAAGACATCATAAATTTCAACCAAGCCAATGCAGCCATCGAGTTTGACGACAGTAAGTTTCTTTTTTCCTATTGGTCGATATATACTGATTCATATATAAAAGTGTTTTGTCCAAACCAAAATGGCTTGGAAAAAGCCCTGGAGGCGACCATGTCAGCTGAAGATTTAGAGAAAAACCTGCAAATTTGTAGACAGTGGGCTGCTACAAAAGGCGTTGACAAAATCATTGAAGAATGCAATGTTGATGTAATAGTAGGACCATGCGATAGCTTTTTTGCGGGGTTGGGTGTTGGAGCGAGTATGTAGCATCTACTACCGTATTCGATGAGCTTGATACATTTGGCTGACCAGAATCCAAGATTATCCATTAGCATCCATTCCGTTCGGAGTCGTTAAAAGCAGTGGCCGTCCATATGGATTACACGTGATTGCTAGGGCTTATGAAGGGAAGATTATTAGCTTCATGGGTGCTTGGGAAGCTACATGGCCTGCGCGGAAAATCCCAGACTTGGATGCGGTCGCTGGCAGCCTTTAACAGATCGGCGATTGTATCTTGCCGGTTTACTACATCCTTTAAATAAGCACTCATACTGGCAAGCATACACTGCTACTTAGAGTGACATTTGTATTCTTCTCACCAATGGCAGCAATGATATCCAACCAAGCGACGGCAGCTCAGAGATCATCCTTCTCACAGATATGGTTGGATCCTGCACCAAAGGATTTCTGTCGCGACTTACCACTTGTATCACTTGTATGGTAAAGCATGCCAACTCCCTTTCGTAGCGATAACACAGTTGACACCACATTTGGAAGGCCGTCCGTGCCGGGTAATTGAACTACCTGGTGCGTGAGTAAGCTCAGTAGCACCACCGCTTAATTAGTCGATAATAAAAATCATAAGATATGATATACTTGAGAATAGCCGCGACAGACAGGTTTAAGATACCCGGAGCGCTGGTACTTCACGCTTTAGACGAAGTAATATTCACTATTGAGCCACGGCTATCGATGAATCATAAATCGACACCGAAATGCGTAATGACTGAATGAGAGGCGCGCGACTCTCAAGCAAATGGTTTGAAGGGGACTTTAGCATACATAGTGCTAGTGCACACTTGTGAATATTTTCTCTGGATCTTGGAATTGCGCTTTCATATCGGAAAATAGTCATTATCTAAAACTTGAAACTCAACCACGGTGTTGTGATGACATGAAGCCGTAATTAATTTCTATATACAGAACACCCTCTAATCTATCATCTCCACTTTAAAAATTATAAATTACTATAGGTTCGAGACTCCCAATCTCTCAATGCTGCTCGAGAGCTAGAACCAACTCAAGAGCTAGCCTCGGCTAGAATTACATCCGCCGCCTTTTCACTAATCATGTAAATTGACAATGCAATATACATACCCGGAATCTTGGGGAAAACACTGGCATCAACCACTCTCAAACCATCCACACCCCTCACCTTAAAATTCGTATCCAAAACCGCCATTTTATCATCATCAGCCCCAATAGGACAAGAACATGAAGCATGATGACCCCACGCCTCATCGAGCGCAAACTGTTTGAGATCTTCTTCCGAAGTGATGCTGGCATCGGGCCATATACGTGTGAAAGAACCATCTAACGGAATCAGATTCTCAAACGCTTCAATGCCAAACTTCATGCCTTCATACACAGCCTGCAAATCCTCGTCGCCACCAACACCCGTATCAAAATAGTTGAAGGTGATATCGGGGGTGTCACGCGGATCGGCGGATCTCAAAAGCACGGTTCCGGCGTTGTTGCGCGAGTGCGCTTTGAGCGTGAGCCAGGTCCAGATATTGCGCTTGGCAAGCGCGTGTACGGAGTAGCCGGGATAGTATCCGCTGAAGTAGGCGGGGACACCTCCGAGGAAGAGATCCTGCACGCCGTCTGCGACGCTGGAATGTTTGGGGTATGCGAGAGCGATGCCGTTGGTTGAGTATCCACCTTTCAAAATAGGAACATTCTCCCACTGTTCGAGACAAGGATCGGTGCCGTTGAGAAATGTACAATCTTTTAGCAAAGAGAAGTCGGAAGTGGAGTTTCCCACAATACCAACTTCATAGCGATCTTGCATGTTGGTGCCGACACCGGGCAAATCTACAATGACTGGGATGCCAAATTTCTCGAGTTCGGCTTGGGGGCCAATACCGGACAGCTTGAGGATTTGAGGTGTGTTAAATGTACCACCTGAGATGATGACTTCCTTGGTGGCAGTGACACTTCCGTAAGTGGCGGCAGAATCGGCTACATTCTTACTCCGGGGATCAGCGCGATATAGGGACTTTCCAACGCTGAATTCGACACCTGTGGCTTTAGGTGTTGCGGCAGTGGTGTCGAATTGGATCTTGGTGACTAGAGTGTTGAGTTGCACGTCTAGCTTATAAGTCTTGGAGCCATCGGTATTGGTAGCATTTGCGACACTCCAGACAAAATCCCGTGGGGAAGCACGAGAGTATTCCGGGAATTTCATGGAAAGAGGAACTTGGTATAAAGCGTCGATCTGATCACGATCTGGCGAATCGTTGTTGATGTCGAGTGCGAGAACTTCAACCAATCCGGTAACGGTGGTGATGAGTTTTCCAAGTAGTCCCTGGCCCATAGTTGTAGCGGCAGCGATGACTAGTGAGAGAACTTTTTGATCTTGAACAATGAGTTCTGGGTTGGTGACCTCGGTCTGCAACCAACCATCAAAGCCATGACCTGTGACATCAGCGGTGAGGTAGCGGCAAGATTCGAGCTTTTGATAGTATTCGCGCATCTTTGCTGGAGCCCAAGTGTCATCGCCGGTTATGTTTTGGATGTGTTGCCAGTCGGTCTCTTGAGGTAAAATGGTGATTAACGCATTATGTTCAGCACATCCACCAAGAGTTCCCGTTCTTGGGTAAAGGATTCCCAGAGGAGTTGCGCCTGAAGTTATGGTTAGCAAGCAATTGAGTTAAGTCAACAAGAGGCGAATAATTACTTTCAGGGGGATCGAGGCCAACATAGAAGTCCCCGTCAACAGTCTCATAAGTCATCTTTGAGTCTCTTGCTTGCCTGGTCTCATTTGCGTAATGATGAACAAAGAAGTCCCATCGAATTGGGTCATACTCCGAAGCCAAAACATGAAGCGCAGGAACTTTCAGCACAGTATCATCTCCATGATCTTCTCCAGCGTCAATAAGCAAAACCGAGTGGCCTGCCAGAGCAAGTCTTGCGGCCAAAGGAGCACCTCCTGGTCCGCTTCCTACCACCACATACTCATATGGATCAAGAGTGATGTTTCCGGAACTTGAGGCGGAATCCGCGGTACGTTGATGAAGGGGTTGGTGTGCATGTTGAGATCTTCTAGAACATATTAGCTTGATGCAAGAAATGGATCCAGAAAATATCCTAGACGTACAATGCAGAAGCCGTAAGACTGAAAAGAGCGACAAGGCTCAAAGATCGCTTGGGAAACATAATGTTCCAGATGACCGATTGAAACCAAAGAAGACAGAAAAGCAAATAGAAACGAATGAAGTAGTGACTGTGTCTGAGAGTAGAAATTGACTACGATGCTGAATAGATCTTATATGTCGTCAAAGCCCTTCCTCCGCTGGATCACCTATGATGGGGCTGTATTTGCGCGATTTCGCCCTTCCCTTCCCTTGCCATGATTGTTAATGTTGTCCCTGAAGGGATCGCAGACAGAAGGGAGGTATGAAGATCCTTACTAGCTGTAGGATAGTGATATACGCATCCTCGATACCTTGGCCCATAAGTTTGTGATGTTCAACACGATTTGCCGAATATCATTTCGTTCGTGAAGTTCAAAGGTGGGAAGAAATTGAAGCTTCTCATTTCCTAACGGACAGAATATTAAAGACATGCATATGGGATGCTTGTCTTTTCATAAAAAGACGGGTTCGGAAGCATATATCCCCTGAAGTTTTAGTGGACAGGCCTTGCAAAGCTTAATTGTCACCATTTGAATGATTTGATAGCCTGTAAGTGGAGCTTGGAAATAAATGCCTGTTCATCCGTAATTATTGGACGTCCTCGTTTGGGAAGATCATCGCTGATCTTCCTGTTTGACAACCAACGGCCGTTAAAGCTCTTTTCGGGTTCTGAAAGTGGGATACCGATATGTTGACGAGGCCTGCTAATGACCTTAAGTGGCATTTCTTACCGAGATTGAATCACAACATCAATCTTGGCAACATGTCAATCATGTTTGGTATCGAGTATAGAGAGATTCGAGAGGGGACGATGAGAAAACGAACATAGAGGTTGGAATTTAGTCCTCATCTATTCATTGAGGGTGGTAACGTAGGTGAACATGAGGATTCGGTGCTAGGTTTCCTCAATTTTGATCGAGTCTGTATCTTACAACAATGACATAAAAAACGAACTTTACGTCGAAATTATTGATGATGGTCAAGTACTATTAATGGAACAGACGTTTTCTTTCTTGTGGTATATAAGTGAACGCCCATCTCCTCTTTTGTTTACTTGAAAGTCACCGCTCTAATCCGAGCTCTTATAATTTTAAAAAGCCATGTAAAAAAATGGGTATCTGGATGATCAAATTGCACGCCGGCGATTCATTAAGAAAACTCCCTAACTTTGGCCGAATAGAACGACCGTTGACGGGTCAGAATTTAAACAGCTGTGCAATGAGTATTGACCGAGAACTTTGAACCGGACGGATCGACATCATGAAGTGGAATAAAGTCTCCCTTCTCGTTTCTTTTGGGTGCCGAGGGTTTAGAGCTCATATATGATCGTTTTCCGGTTGTCCCACCAGTCCTTGCGGTGCTGACTGCGACAGTTGATTGTAGCTTCGGCATGATCAAGTTCAGTAGAGGTCGTAATGATGGCAAGCACCCGCAAATTATGCCAACATGCAGCTCGAGAGTGCTCCAATATGCGGCCGGAACATAGTCCCCTAAACACAATTTTCAGTAAAGATAGGTCAATTGAGAAGGGTCAACCTTACACGTTACGTTTGTAGTATTGGCAAATTGAATGAGGGACTGGAGTCGTATGACGCTGATAGTGGTAACACTATTGGAGATTAGCAAATAGGAAAAGTAAAAGTAACTGGAGATGGTCCTACAATAATCCCAAAGCTTAGGAGGTCGATTAGCAAAATTCTGGAATTGAGAAGCATGCCTAAACTTACAGAACATAAACATGATAGTGATTTTCTTCGTCGGAGACATGACCAGTTTTGAAAGTTTCCCTAATGGCAAGCCAATGACCACAAGATCCAATATAATATTGAAAATAGAACTTAGCCATCCTTGAAGGTTGACGTTGTTACAAGATCCTGTGTGCAAACCATCCCATTGATTCCATGAATAGCTGATGGGCCAGCACTGAAAAATAGTTGCAGCCACGAAGCTAATACCGTAGGCAACAGCAAGTCCAAGTGTGCCCCAGACGAAGTGAATGAATGGCTTCTCGCGGAACACCCGGAGGAAAAGAAGGCAGAATGTAACTTTTATCATGGCCATCGAGGCAAGATAGAAACATTCACCGAGAAAATAGTACTAATATACGTTAGCTCGTATCTAATGATGCTAAAACCAGGCTTACAAACAAATAGTATATTCGTAATATTATCAGCTGTCAGAGTCCACATGTCTTTTCCAAGACCATTATTGGCCACTGGTATTTTGATTAGCATTATAATCAATAACGCTAGGACTTTTCATCTTACTTACACAAGACAGAAAAAACAGTTGGAGGAATGGCCAACGCCTGGGTTAGGTTAGTTAGGCTCGCTGTAATGAGATAGACAGCGAGATAGACAGCGTATTACTAACCACGACAGAACACATTGCCCAGTCATCCATACCCCATTGACGTACTGTCACAACGGATGATAGAATCCGGAGGAAAAATGCTAGTAACGCAACACAACCTCCTATGACACCAATATGCGAGACGGCTTGTGTTCTGTTTCGCACCGGGGCACTGCACATGGTCTCCGTAACATTTTTGGTAGCTTTTAAGAGTCAGGACTAGTTGAAACGGTGTGTACTTTCATTTGATATATTCTCACTTACTCAGAAGTTCAAAAACGGTGCAACTTTTCATCGCACATAGTGTGATGCTCGCTTGTAATTCAGCATTGGTACAGAGGCATATTATATCAGTCGCGGAGCATGTAGATGCAGGAATGACTTCTAACATGCACTTGAGCTAATCAAAGTCATTAGCAAAGCACCTAATAATGAGAGACATGAATGAACTTACAGAACAAGTCGGGTATGACGCTTGTGCGGCTGCTAAAACGGCTTCGGAGGAACTTCTTAAGGATAATGAGGGCTGCGCCATAGTCAAGCTAGCCATGGCGGTCATGACAGCTATGATGTTCAAAAATAATTTCATGATGCCTTGATGTCTCGGTATAAGGTGAAAATTAATGATAGTAAAGGCGCAAAATGCAAAGAAACAAACTAAAGATACAACAAACAAAACAGACGCTACCAAGAACCTAGGAGAATCTGGCTGTGTATAAATGCATGTGTTTTAACCCTGTGAACACCAAGCAGTATGTATACCTTGTTCCAGCTTCCCATAACCTTGAAGCTGGAAGTTTGCCATCGTTGATCGGCCACATACGTCTTTTTTGATTCGAACCAACGATCGTCATGTTCTTATGGTTATCTAATATTCTAGTCTCGTGTCAGACCCTTGGGAAGGCTCTGTCCATGTGGCTTGGCAAGGTGATGTCTAAGCCAAATTGAGTATTTAGACGGCCCATCACACCAAAAGAGAATGCTTGTACTCAATGGCATGGTATGTATCAAATACCTTGAGCCAAATATGGAGTAGATGATTGTGAGAATAGTCGGCGATAGAAAACTCTAAAACGGCCGCGGCACCGGATCTTTTCGCCGGCCCGTAGTGCTTCCATAAATTCTCCGAGTAGAGGAAGCACTTAGAACGTTTGGCCAAGCAGCCTATTTAAAATTAAACAGTTCTCCATCCTCCACCAATAGGACCTTTAATCTTCAGCCAGTTTCTAGTCGAATTTAGGTGTATACATCAGATTGCGAATCTGTTTCGAACAATCTTTGATAGGGGCTCGGCTTCTGAGAGCCTAAAAGGTTTCCCCGGGGAGTTGGGTCCACGTTTGTCGAAGCACAAATTTCATGGGGTTTGATGATGCCATGCAAGGTAATACGTAACAGTCGCCCAAACGTTTATCCCATAGAGAGTATACAATCTCTGCCGCTGTCGGCTGTCGGCTGTCGGCTATCTATCATTGTGCGTTAGTGGTTGAAGAACTGGACGCCGAACGGGCTCTTAGTACTTCACCTTAATACTTGAGATGAAGAATTTGTCTGAATAAGGAAGAAGTTTGGCTATCTGTGAAGGAGGTTGAGTGTGGTTAATTACCCTACGGGCACCTCATATGGGTTATTAACCTACGTGTAGGTTATTATTGCACTAAACCATGTGTTGAAGTGAAAAGAGATCTTGTATTGAGATCTGAAATCATGATTTAAACCTAATATGAATTAGTTGGTTTTTAGTTCAATATAGCTTCATTTCTTTTACCCTAAATCAATGATTTCAAACTTACTCGAGTATTCATATCTATCGAAACCTTTCAAACTTAACTTTTCATTCAATTCAACTCGAATGATTTCAAAATTCAGTAAGTTAAAAGACTTTCAATGCTTCAATTTTCAGTAAGTTAAAATGCTTTCAATACTTCAATATTCAATAAGTCGGAATGCTTTCAATGGTTTCAATATTTTCAATAGTTTTAATGCTTGAGCGGCCCGGGAGAGAGTAGCTATTGATATCGGAGGCCTTTTTAGCTTCAAATCTCAATATATACTTTGAATCTCAATATATGCACTAAAAAATATGTTTGTCAAAAATGGCCGATTTACTCTCTTGAAGAGGGTTAATTACTTACTGCGTAGATAACATTTTTAGTGCACCGTATATGGCTGAGTCAGCATCATCAAATCCAATTTACTTACCGTAGATAGCTAGGTAAACTCAAAACGAGAAAACGAGAACTATTTCTTCACCGTTGAAGACTCGTTGTGTGCTTACCCTAGGTCACTCACCGACTGACAAGGGTACAAATACCGGGGTGTGCGTTCATTAGCTTCAAGGTACTCATATTGGCCAAATGCTTGCAAATGCAGGAACTGCTGATCACTTCTCTCCATGTTAATGTCAAATTTACTTCAAGAAGTTGTCTTGTCGATCCAAATATCCAAATACCACTCACTGCCAAACCTGGTTTTGGGCAATTTGTTCTTCCACTATTGTTCAATCCCAAGTAGGATACATTCATCATCCCTTTTTACACAATTTTTGGCTAGACTAGATGTTAGAATCTGCCGATGATGTGGCTAGCCAGTGGAAGTTATTCTATTTCATGATATGTCAGAAAACAGAAAACCTAAACTCAACATTCATTTTTGAGGTTCATTGTATTTTGTGTTGTCAATTGTTCTACTTCACCCTTCACCGTCACTCCTTTGATAATAGAAGATGAAGCTTTCATCGTCCGTTCTTTTCCTCCCAATTTTGGGTACGGCTGTCCTAGCATTTCCAAATCTAGGAGCATTGCCAAAATCTTTTGAGAGAGCACCCAAAGAGAGCTGGTACGAGGATTTGAAAAGACAAGTTGAGAATCACCCGAAAGTTAGAGAAAGATTGTTGGTTGGTTCTTTGACCACTCCCATCGACGGTAAAAAGCCAAATCCCTTTTTGGTACTGAATACCATTAACAATAACATAGTGACGGGAGACCATGCATTTGTGGCACCCGATTTCGATAATGGTGACCAGCGAGGGCCATGTCCAGGACTGAATGCTCTCGCAAACCATAATTACATTCCTCATAATGGCGTCACTTCATTGATAGATACCATTGTTGGTGTTAATACCGTCTTCGGGATGGGAATCGAGCTCATTACCCTCCTCGCCACGATGGGTACTGTTGGTGTCGGTGACCCTCTCTCACTAAATCCCGGGTTCTCAATCGGAGGCTACACTCCCGAAGTCTCCAACCTACTCGACAATGTCGGTGGTCTTCTAGGAACACCTCGCGGTCTCGAAGGCTCTCACAACTGGATTGAAGCAGATTCTTCAAATACGCGCGATGACCTATACGTAACGGGAGACGCATCAACAATGAACATGACATTATTCCTGCAAATAGCCAATGGATCCGACTCCGAAATCATCACCATGGAAGATGTCGGCAAACGCGCTGCCGACCGTCTCGAAGTCAGCATAGCTACCAATCCCTACTTTTACTTCGGACCCTATACCGGTCTGATTGTTCGAAATGCCGGCTATGCATTCTCAGGTCGTCTCTTGAGTAATCACACTATCGAACATCCCGACGGAATCATGACTCAAGGAACAATGCGCAGTATGTATGGGGTTTACTCCGAAGATGGAACATATGTATACAAGAAAGGCTGCGAGCAGATCCCACCCAATTGGTACCGCATCCCCGTCGACTATGGACTCGTATCACTCAACGTGGATCTTCTCACGTGGATAGGGAAAAACCCAATACTGGGGAGCATTGGTGGTAATACTGGCCAGGTGAATACTTTCACTGGTGTCGATCTCAGTAATATCACCGGTGGTGTTCTGAACGCCGAGACACTTTTGGAGGGTAACAATCTGATGTGTTTTGCCCTTGAAGTCGTCAAGACGTTTGCACCAAATTCTCTTTCGCCTTTGTTTGCTACACTGGCTGTTCCTTTGCAGTTATTGAACGATGCCGTTAATACATCGATTTTGGATCTTACAGGGTGCCCGGACTTTGCGGATTTGAGTATGGGTGGAGTTTCATTCTTTGAGGCACTCCAGGATACATATCCCGGTGCAGCAAAAAGTGGTGTCGCGTTCTAGCGAGTATAAAGACACATTTCTGTATTTCTATACATCACAATGGTTGATGTACTTGTGACGTCAATAATAGTGGTATTGTATGGACGTATATAATTTTAATAATTTAACATGATTTCTCTTCATCATTGGAACCTGCACCGAACTATTTGAAGAAACCCTTTATGAGCAGATACGAATTCTTGGATTCTGTCAAACAGGCCAATTTTAGTCCACCTCGTGCAGCCAAACGGAATCTTGGAATTCAATCTCTTACCATCTTATCTTATTGATATATTATTCCATTCAAAATATATAGCAAAGCGCAAATCTGTATGCGCTAGCAGATGATCCGGTAAATTAGTCTCAATTCCCAACAAACGTAAAGCTACATTCAAAATCCGAATCCGAATTTCATTGTATTTCATACCATCTGCAAACCCAAGGACTTCCAATTTAGGAACAGAGGCATACATACAAGCAATATATCTAAAGCTGTCGGTTAGTCCTCTAGTAAACCTTCTCTCTACAAATAATTGATCCTAAGTAAATCATGAATGGACTGATAAGATTAGATAATACAATACCGGTACGGTTTTTCATTCGAGTTATTTGCATCATTGCATGACTTGTATGTTTTACATCGGATTCTACTGCAATATTTCAATCATATCGCTGATTTTCGCCATGATCCTGGTATACATAGGAAAAGGTATAGGTATAGGTATAGGTATAGATATAGATATAATCCACACGCCCGCTTTGACACTCGACGGCGCCTCTTCTTGGTTTTAGCTTTAGCTCCTCATCCTCCAGGTTCGTTCTGTGTAAAAGTATTGGAGGCCAAAATCTCAGTAGTTCGCCCATATGAATCAACACCAGGAAGCACCAGCACTACGAGCTACAAAGTTCTTCAATTACGTTGCATATCTCAAAGTAGGTAGATCCAAACTTCATCCTCTTTCGGATGACATTGTACCAACATATCCAATTAAGTCAACATTAACAAACCAGAAATTCATCGATCCCAGAACCCGTCCGCAAATTCCACCATAGCCAATCATCTAATCTCTTGAACGCAATAGGAAATTCACGAGCAGAATGCGATGTGCAACAAAAGTTCCACAATACACCGACCGGTTTCATGATTAATTTCACAATAAAAGCTGACGGACGGTGTAGATATCCATATCCAAGGATCGACAATCATGAGAATTGTTTGGTTGAGAGTGAAAAAAGAATCCGAGAGATGTAATACTTGCAAAGACCGAGACCCAATAGTTAACGAACCCCTTGGGAAATGACGTTAGGGTTGGGGCCGGGCTTGGGGTTGGGTTAAAAATAGATGTGGGGAAGCGCTTGCTTAGTTGAGAATTTGGTGTTGAATCTTGATCCGAGTCTTGTCTAGAGATGGGAACTTTGGATGAATGATATGATACCAGATAAATGAAATAGCGAGGAGTAAGATTATTGTGAGATGATGAGTAATAGATAGTATGAGATTTGGGAATCCCATCTGGTAGGAACCGTGGGACCAAAGATATATCAAATCAGTTTCTAGAGTGAGGTTTCATTAGCTGTTTTCTTGATTCGTACATTTACCGAGCTCCAAACAGTAAGTATACTGTACTTTAAAGAAGAATTACTAGATGCGAGAGCATCAGCGATAATCCTGAGATGATGAACAACTCTTTTTGTCCGAGTCGAAGTAACAACTTCCAACTAAAACCGCATCTTCTTGCTCCTCTCCTCCCTCGCCTACCAAAGCGTGCAATACTATCATATCATATCATATCTTATATATCTTCCTAGATCTACACCTCTCGGTCATCTAGGCCTTTTCCATCAACTAAAGTAGCGCTAATTACCATCCAATCAATCAAACGGCTCAAATCAAACATTTCCCCGTCAAATTGAATACAGGCACTTCTAGATTTAGCTATTCCTTTGCACATCACAAATCAAAACATAATTAGATACCGGTACACTGCAGTACCCAATGAACAAAGATATAAAACTCACACACATCTGTACCTATTACAGTAAATTACTCGAGTAGATCAGATCCATTTCAGTATTAGAATCCAAATATACCGCTGCAGATACATACAAACTAAACAGATTCAACACCGGTATCATTTAAATACCTGTTGGTATCAAGATGATATATTTACATCTTATCTTATGAATATACAATATGATAGGATTGATTATCGTCAAAGTTAAAATTCTTAATGTTGAGAGTTCAGAGTTGAGTTGAGGTCCTTCCTACTTTACTTCACTTCACTCCAGGGCGGAAGACCTAGGCCGATATGACGAAATATGTATTAGTACCTAGGTAGTTAGGACAGAGTTTCTCAAAAAATAAAATTCACTAAATACGGTAGACACAGTTCCTAGTTGAACACTAGCTTGAGTTGAAATAGATCTCAAATTTGGCGGAAGATGAAGATGATAATGGCTATTGATATTTACTCATCCAATGAAAGTCCCTCTCGTCCGACAAGCTTCAGTATATTTGATCAAAGCTATGAAGTAATATAAGAGGAACCCCAATTGTTACTTTTGCATCTTCCTATCCCATTTAGCCCCATACCCATTCCCACCCCATCCCAACATATCCCAACATCAATCCCGACATTCCAATATCCACACCCTTCGCTTCTTACCCCTCAATTCATACACTTCACTTGACTCCACATTACTTCACACACTTCACCTCACTTCATCTCACCATATGTATATACATCTACTCATACTCATACTCATCCTCTCGCTCTCTCCAAAACAGGAAATTACCCGAGCATCAAACCCAAAAAAGAATTCATCAATCTTACCGATGTAATGCCCCGTCCCCATTACCATCCCATACTCATGTCACCTCACAATGACCCACCAACCCTCCCAAGATTGGACCCGAATCCCATACCACACTATTACTAGTACCATTACCACCACCACTAGAACACAACCCAACATTGCGACATGCAACCGTATGCACGTCTCGCGAGCATAGCATAGCATGGCATGATATACACATCATCCCATAGACTCTGACATAGATATACCTGTGACATTAGCTTTCTCTAGTTTTTATGAAATCACATCACATAATCGCGAGAATAATATAGACACCCAAGAGATCAACCAGATCAAAACAAGATGTACTCGAGTAGGTTTAGAAACATTTCAATGCATTCAAGCACTTTGAATTGTTTCCATGCTGTGTTATCATACAGACCTACAGACCCTGAGCCAAAGAGAGAAAAAAAAAAAAAAAAAAATACCAAATGTACCGTCCAATCTACTCCATTCAAAGCCCCATATAAACGCTCTATTAAAATATACAGCGCGAGACCCCAGCGCTGTCATTGATCCGTGTGTCCTGTTTGCAGAGAAGAAAGAGCGAACCAAAGTCTCCTTGAGAAACTTTGAAAAACACCTGCATGCACATGAAAATTCTCGAATAAGCGAGCCGGTACCACAAGAACACTTCTTGAAGGACTGTAACTCGATGAGATTGAAGAGAATCAAGCCTTGACCTTCTTGGGACGACCACGGCCCGCAGAAACTGGTGTACTAGCATCATCAGATGCCTTTCTCTTTTTACTAACGGGGGTGGAAGATGCTGGAGCTTCGGTGGTATCCTTGGTAGGTCTTCCTCTCTTCTTACCCGAGCCTGGTGTAGCAGCAGCCTCAGTCTCAGCCTTTGCTGGTCTTCCCCTCTTTCCTGGAGCCTTCTCAACAGTAGCTGCTGGAGCCTTTGCCTTGGGAACTTTGACGGCTTTTGGTTCTTTAGGAGCTTTAGGCGCAGGTTTGGGTTTGACGATACCACTGGCAGGTCGGCCACGTCCACGTCCGGACGGAGGCTTAACCTTCTTCTCACTGTCGGGCTTGGCTGGACGACCTCGGCCACGACCACTGGGGGCAGGCTTCTCCTTTGGTACAAAGACTGGCTCGGTCTCCTTAATGATGACGAAAGCAACCTTCTCAATTTGAAGGGGGTTGACACGAAGGCGAGCGGCCAAGGTTTTTGCGGCGGCGTGAACTTTCTCGAACTCGGCAACATTGTATTTTGGTGTTGGCTTGTGTTCTCCGTCATTGACGAGCCATTTGAAGACTTCATCACTGAAGAATGTCACATGATCGGGATCACGGACAGCGAGGATGAGGGAGGCAGTAGCAGGTCCAATTCCCATCAATGGCTCCTTGAGCTTGTTGATAACAGTGCCAATATCGGTGGGATTGGCTTTATAGTAGTCAAAAGCATCTTTAGTTGCAGCTTCTACAGCCTCATCGGTGTTTTTTCCAACTTTCTTCAAAAAACCTGGACGGTAGGCACCATGCCGACTAAATTGAAAATTAGTATTGAAATAAATCCAAAATACATTGAATAATGAATTGAGACATAAGAAATGATAAAAATAAAATTAATATTTTTTCCCATATTTTTTGATGATGGAGTGGGAAGGTGAAAGACCCCGAAAAGCCGAGCTTTAGACCTCAAGAAGGCGCTCATCCATCACCCACAGCTTTCAAAACAAAATATCGCGAAAAAATGAAAACATTTAGAAATCACGCAAATAATGAGAATATAATAAACTTACAGCTTCCACTCAACCAACTTCGAGACATCTTCAATAGAGAAATTGTGAGCTCCATCCTTGAATCTTGCTGGCGCCTCAACGTATCTGAATCTATCAAGCTCTTGTAGCGGAGCAACACCTTCCTTTACTATATGAATATAAAATCAACAACTCAATCTTTTGCAAACGCGTAAAGAAAGAAAAGAGACTCACCATCCTTTGCATACGTATTGAGCAAGGCAGGATATCTTGCCAAAGTTTGGTTAAACTCAGCAAGAGTGATATCATTTGGAGAAGACATAATGGATTCGTGAGCTTTCTCTCCCTCAAAACGATCTGAGATTGTCGATTTTTTTGGACTTCCGAATAGAGGATTGAGAGTATTTGAAATCGAACGAAGCATTCAATGATGATTTCGATGATTTATCAACAATTTTGATGAAAGTTTTATTTTTGAAAAATATATAAAAGTAAAATAAAAAGAGAATAAGGGGATCCGCGACGCGACGTGAATTTATGTTGTGGGGGACAATGTTGATGCTGTTTTAGGTTTAGCTAGTGATTAGAAGTGAAGCTAATTCGTATAACTAAGCGAATTAAATTATTTCATAAGTGTAAATGAAAATATGAGACAAAATTAAATATTAACTGTAAGACAGGCCACGAATTCTAGAACTTATTCTTCCTCTTCTTCTTCTCATCTCCAGTTCTTTTTTGCCCAAGTAATCATATCTTCAAGCTTCTACACAGTTTAATAACTTAATTCAATAAAACATCCTTCAAAATGGGAGGAGGTAACGTAAGTGATTGCTTTTACCATACATCTTCTTTCTCTGCAACATTTTTTGTAGTCAACTACCGGTAGATAAAGAAAGGATATTTCTCCACCGGGCTAGGCCGCTCAACCCCAACCTTCGACCCCGAACTCTGATCGTCGCATATAATTTAATGGGACCTGACCTCTTTCACAGGGCGCAAAAGCAGCTTCTAAGCGTGCACGCAACCAAAAGGATGCCGAGAAGGGTGGCGCAAAATCGCAACTGAAGGTCAACGAGACGGCCAAGGATATCCAGTGTGAGGTTTGCAAAACCACATTCTTGAAGACGACCAGACTTCCTGCGTGAGTATTCTGCTTTTTTTTGCGATTTGTATGGGTGGCTTGGCACAATCGTCAGTCTGGATGGGAGGTCCGCATATTCCGGCAATTGTGCGGAGAGCGGGAGAATCCTGAAGGAGGGAAGGAATTTGGGGGAGACCCGCAGTCGTTCTCTTCGTCGAAGCATCAAGCCAAGACCAGACCAATACAGACTTAATTTAGATCGAAACTAACATCGAAATCCCAACACCAGTCTCACAGAACACTCCATGAACAAGCACTCGAAAACCCCGGAGCTCTGCTTCCCCTCATTTGTCGCCCAACAGGCCGCAGCAGAATCTGCCAAGAAATAAAAATTTCGAGCATTCTTTGTGCGATGCGATGCACCCTACGAGTTCGTACGACGCAATGACGAAGGCACGGTGTTTAACGGTCGGACAGACGTGGTAGATGAGAATTTCTGGGTTCCGATGATCGGGGTATTGATATGAATTTACGAGAAAAGTCGAGCGAGCGATTGGCGCATGGGAGGGAAGAGATATAATGGCGTTTTATTCTACTCAAAGGCTAGTGGACTAGGACTAGCTGCGTGAGCCAGAAAACTCTGCTTCGGATCTATTTGTGCGTTTGAAAGAAAAGCGTGTCTTACCCTAGTACCCATGAGACTTTTGCATGTTTGATTATACATGAGATGTTGAGGGTGATTTTGGTATGGACCCTTTAGATGCTTGGATTAATATCAAATATTGATTTGAGAGGGTAATTATCGGCGGCTTTGGGATGAAAATTATGAATGTTTGGGTTTATGTTTCAGCAGGCGGAGTAACTGGCAGACTCTTTTGCCTGCGTTCCTCTTCCTGCTCTGCTCTTATGTCTGCCAAGATTTCGGGATACCACTTCTCTCCCACATCCACATGGCTCTTAACTCTATTTCTTAACGTCGCCTCCCCTAGCGTCTCCGCCTTCCCGCCTCCTCTAAAAGTAAACTCTACATCATCCAACCTACCACCCACACTCTCCAAGACCTTCCTCCTCATCTCCCTCACCTCCTCCCTCACCTCCCCAATCCCCACCTCATTCAACTCCTCAAACCTCGTACTGCCCCTCACCCCCTGAAAAAACGGCACACTATATCTCGGGCCCCCTCCATATCCCGGACTCAGCACCCGATGCGTCGTACTCATACAAACCCCCTTTGTAAGCGCCTCCATCCCCTGTCCAATAGCTACCACCAACGTGTCCGCCACCGGCGGACAATCAATCCACTCCCCTCTCAAATTCTGCACCTGCAACCCCTTCTTCTCACCCACCTGCAGTAGATACGACGTCAACATCGAATCCTTATGCGCACCCACCCCCTGTCCCTCCTGTCCGGGCTCTAACCCCAGTTCCTTCAAATCGGGATATTTAACCACTTTTAACTTATGTTGTTGATCCTCGTCGAAATATCGCTCGAATGCATGAGCAGGCAATCCAATCGCTTCCGCGATTAAACTAGTGAAGAACATGGAGATCTCTCCCATTTGCGATATGTATAGTTCGAAGACGGGCCGGAAATTAGGGAGGTAGGAGGGAGAAGGCCAGAGATTCGGAGCGAGGAGATTGTAGTGTAGGGGATCGGTGGAGGTGGGGATGGGGTGGGGTGTGGAGAGATCGATTTGCTCGCGCTGATCGATGGCGTGGGCTGTTATTTCAGCGGAGAGGGGGGAATAGCCTAGGAATGAGGGGGCGTTGACCATTTGGATTTTGGTTCTGGGGGTGAGGTTAGTTGGCTGTGTCTTTGTACATTTGTTGAATTACTTTGGTGAACTGAAAGAATAGGTGAAATGAGAAGTGAAAACAACATACTTTTCATCCAAAGGGATATCAAAGAACTTTACCCCCTCCTCCACAACATTATCTATCAGCCCCTGAGCTATCCCAATATTCTTAAGGTATAAGAATCCCAGTTCAAGTAATGCATGGCGCAGCTGATCCAAAAACACGGGTTTAGTTGCTGGGGATCTGGCGAGAGAGAGATCAAGAATTGGGATATTGGTGAAGGACATGATGAAAGAGTCGTTCCTTGCAATTGAGGAACATGAGATAGTGATTGTTATACTAGATTGTTATACTAGGTTGTTGTTATACTTGATTATAGAGGAGGAAAGTCGGCATGTTATGAGACAGACATAGGAATAGTAGCACGAATATGCTAGTAACATGGTGTGATGTTACTCTGAGCAAGTATGGATGTGAAGTGGGGTGCGGGGTGATTCCGTACATAGTGTGGCGCGATCCACATAAATCGGTCTCACAAAGAAAATGAAAGCAACATCAGAGTAATTACTTTGCATTCCAAGTCAAGGAAAACTTGTCAAAGTCTGAAAGATATAAATACTTTTATGCTCTGTACAGCCATATACAAAGCTCCCTAACGCTCAAGGTTTATAAACCGCACTCGCTATGCCAACTTAGTATGGAAACCATTAAAATTCATTACACCACACTCTCCAAAGGTTTACTAGAAAACAATCCTGCCACTTGATAGAACATCTCCTCCAAAGGCGGCAATGCAAACGCCGGCCCAATGTCAAATACACCTGAAAGTTCTTGTTGTGTCACAACAGGTGTATCATCATCATCCTCAATGACTTCAGGTGATAAAGGTTGGGCTTCTTCCGCCTCATCTTCCTCATCATCAATCAATTGAAGGAGATCTCCAGTTGGTTCATCAGTGACCGTGTCCAATTGAAGATCAGAAGTTGATTGGGCCAATGTGGTCATTGGCTGTGTGCCCTTCTTCATCACATTTCGGATTTCAGCAGCTCCATCGAGAACCAGGAATCCTTCCGAATCCTCAGTGGATATAATAGCCGAAATTGCAGTCTCGAAGCACTCGGTCAACAATGGGACTTGACTATCCTGACCAAAGACTGCAAAACCAGAATACGTTGGCGGTAAAGTTTGTTCTCTGAGCTCCTCCGCCGACGGAGGAGTGAGTCTCATTGGTATAGCGACTGCGAATGTGCGACTCTTTCGATTGATTGCCAAATGCATCATCTCGATCTTCTGTATGATATGCATCCGTGTGATGGATTTGTATAGCTTCAAACTATATCTCAATTGATCCGAAACCAAATCATGCACACGAATTGAATCGGACAAGGTGATAAGATCTCTACCCAAGATCTCCATAGCCACAATGCTACCTTCAAACATGCCGTGTTGTGAAGCTGTGATGGAACCCTGTTCGGGATCGATCATGTGAACCGTTCCGTTTTCACCAAAAGCTGCAGCTATTATCGAGCCATCATCCGCGAACGCTACAGCACCGTTGTATGGCGAGCTCCGCAAGTGGTCATCGGTAAGCTCAGACTTCTCGAGCTGGATTTCATGCTGGCAGTGCCAATTTTTGAGTGCGTTGCCCTTTCCATCCTTGACCGAAATTCCATCTCTTTTTCGAGTTTTTGGGACCCATGTACGCACCACACTGTCTTCTCCTATTGTAGAAAATCTCAAGGAGCTAGGGTCTGTGGCGAGGCCTAAAATTTGGCCGGCCCCAGGTGCGGAATTGCTTGCCATATGAGGGGTGTTAATTCGCGATACCAGTTCCCATGTCTGGCCCGCTTCTTGCCACTGCCAAAACTTCAAACAGATTTCCCGTCTCAGTTTGAGCTCGGCAAACGGATTTGTGACTTGATGCTGAATGAAATCGAGGTCGGCATGAGAGGGAGTCCATTCGTCGACCGTAGCTAGCCAAAGTCCATCATGAGATTTCTGGATATGGGTGATTCTGGGTTCGGAGATTGGAACAGAGTTAGGTGTTTCATTAATATTGGTGACATTCGTCCTTGCAAGGGCTTGCTTTGACACATTGTGCCCTGCACTAAGATCATACGTTTGTAGAAACGAACAATTCCTGACCGGAGCTTCGTAGAAAGGTACTTCTGAAGTCTGCCCAACACCGAGGAACAGATGAGAAGGGTTGGCGGAACTAATGACGGCAGGCGTTCGCTGTACCACGTGAAACCTATAGAAATGGGATTTGGCTCTGTGGACTTCATCTTCTTCAGCTTCAGCGTATTGGGTAATGCTAGACTGGAGCCCAGCAAAATTCGCCGTTGGTTCCAATTCGGCGGTGGACAACACCATGGCAGAGTTGTCAGCAAGCTGAATGCCGTACGAGGACCCAGAAGGAGACACGACTACATTGTTGATAGTTGACGTCATATGAGGCAAGAACTGCTTTTTTCCGGTATCCAATTGCCAAAGTACGAGCACTGTTTCGCTGCCTCCAGATATAACGTAGTTTCCTGTCATCATATCAGCTCAGGTCATGCTAGGTAGTGAGGCACGACAAATGTACGTACCATCCAAAGACCACTTTACGGTCTGGACACCTTTTCGGTGCCAATGTAACCTTGCTGGCACAAGGTTGATCATGGAAGCGTAATTTTTATTTTCTGATTGTACGAGATTGCCCAACAAGTCACGATGTACAAATATGGCTCCTTTCGCATCGCCAACCACAACATCAACAACTGGTATCTTTTTCGATATGTTTCTGTCATCGGTAGTTTTTCTAGGATATGATCGTGCATCCAAGGACATTATAGGGCCAGTCGAATCAAAGACGCGGAATACGTATCTAACCTTGTCAGTAGTATCAAAATCCAAGTTTCGAACATGACCGAGTAAAACGCTTTTTCCAGAAGCTGCGAGAAGCACAGAACCTTCATTAGCAGTTTTTAAGTAGTTAATCGGCGTTTTTGAAGTATAAATGGTTCTTGCGACTGTTTGTATGGGTGAACCAGGCTGAGTCAATTCATTTGCAGTAATTCGCCAGCCGCCGTCCTTCTTGACCTCGGTCGTGAATACCACATCTCTTCGTCGCCCAGCGGATACCATGGAAGCAACAGTCATATGTATACAGCCAGTCGAGGAGATTTTCCAAGACTGATCATTCCCAGTTCCCGAGGTCCAGTCCAGGCGATATATGGCTCCATCAGACAGGGCTACCCAAACGATGTTGGAATCAGTGGGTGAAAGTTTGTATGCGACGATATGAGCGAAAGGATGCTTCGAATGGTCGAATTTGATGGATCGGGTGAGGAGAGAATCAGACGTTGAGTATATGAGAAGGCTCATTCGGTTTGCTAAGATCAGATATCTTGATTCCAGTCAGCAATCAACTTTTTGTAAAATAAGAAACAATGCCATACTTCTCATCTTCTGTAAATACAGGATCTGCATCAATCATCCGTCCGCCAACAGCTTCAGATATTTTCCAACTTTGATCCTTCACTGGTTTGGGGGCTTGCGGAATTTTCTTTTCCCAGATTTCCTTCTTCGGCTTGAACCCGTTTTTGGTTTGTGAATCCACTGACTGCGATGGCACATCCTCGAAAAGATCCTCAAAATCGATAACCTCTGTTGATTCTAATGCATCTTCACCATGCGCGCCATTGGCCTGGACCAATTCCTTCCCCTTACCCTGTACCTCAAAGATGTCAAATCCGCCATTGTTCTGACCAAACTTCGTAGTAGGCTCCGCAGATTCTGAGATAGGCTTGGACCGTTTTGGAATATCCGCCACCTCTGTCTGACCTCTTTTGCGCTTCAATATCGAAGCCATGGCGTTGTCAAGAGATCTCGTGAAGTTGAAGAGTTCACAGTTGAGATTGGCAAACGTGAGGCAGAGCTCTGAACTTTTTTTATTTTTTACTTTAGCGAGATAGCGAGCGATAAAGAAAAAAAGTTCTCGGCATCATATCACGCGAAGACCTTCAATTCAAATCTCAGCAACCACAACACCATCGCAGACCTTTACATCAACATCTACATACATCAAAATGATTATTCCAATTCGTTGTTTTTCTTGCGGAAAGGTAAATCACATTAAGTATTTCGGTGAGAGCCGCGCGCTGACCGCTAGATAGGTCACCGGAGATATCTGGGAGCGATATGTCAAGCTCATTGATGCGGGAGTCAACGACGGGTTAGGCACAACATTACGCACTTTCCTCATTCCATGTATTAATGTGTTGATTTAGTGATGCTATGGACGAACTCACTCTAAAGAGATATTGCTGCCGTCGCATGATCATGACCCATGTCGACCTTATCGAGAAACTTCTCAGGTACGAAACAGTACTCCTATCATTGCGGCAGATAAACAAAGAAAACGAAAGGCTCTTCTTTTATATCTAATGCACTTCTGGGATTTGCTCATTGCTAACCAAATTGCTAGATACAATCCTGCCGAACGAGATGCGAAAAAGGCAGCCTTGAATGCTTAAACTAAAATGATCAAACACCTTATACTCGTATGGACCTCGATTCGGATAACCTCAATTAATGGTTAAAACTATTTTGCTCAACCGGAAAAGGCGCAGCACGCGATTATACGATAATATGTTCATAGACAAGGAGGTAGATGGTATAGGCGTTGATTGGAGGTTACAATCCAAATATTGCAGATTTGGGCGTGGGCGTTTCAGGGCTGTACCCAACGGTGCTTGGTGTGCAGTGGATATTTACGAGCGGTGTTGCTTTTCTACCCGGAGGAGTGGGGAGATAATATTTGGGGCTCATTATCGGATTCCCAAAATCAAGGATCATTTCCAACATATCCAACACAATACAAAAGTGATGCATTGCTGTTTGTTTTAGGAATACTATCAAAAGCTCATCAAGACGCCCAAGGCAACACTTGATCATTGCTGGGACAAGTTGTCCCAAGGAACTGGTTCACTATTATGCATGTACAACGCATACAATTTGAGCCAGTCTGATATATTGATGTGGAGTGCACTTAAATCTGACAAGCCACTAACGAGAAACTCTAGCATTCACCGACGGCACGAATTTATCCTACCAACAAGAGTTTTTAGATTTTCATAGGTCGATATTCGAGGAGTGGCGTCTGAGAGCATCATGTAATGCATATTTGAACCACAGTTGAATTGATATGGTTCTGGTCGATATTACAGAGGATCGAAGAAGCTGGCGTGTCCGTAAGGCTAGAAGCGGTGGAGCAATGTTTGTGCAAACATGCATCAAACTTCGACGCGTATTACTTGATCTCGATAAGTCGTCAAGATACGAGAACTTCGTGGAATCAGAAAAATCATGGAGAGTTGGAATCTTACATGGCTTGAACCCGAGTTTAGAACTGTCTCAAGAGAGAGAGAGGGAGCTTCCCGACAGAAAGACTCGTTAGTCGTGGGCTTGGAGGGTATCGATTAAGACCGGGATCTGGTCATCTTTATCAACGGAATCGACCATCAGATAGAGAGCATTATCCCGTGTAGCCAGTCTAGCGCATCCGTTCTGCTCATGATGGTACATTTATCTCTCTGAACGAGGATGACCAGCCGACCGTCTAACTGACCCAGATCCCATTCCCGTGGTTTCGGATATGTTTATTAGCGTATCCCGAAGAACCCTTCGTAATAACCCCAACCTAAGAAATGAATCAAGCTATCATTATTGTCACTATGGACCCAACCATCCGGTTCGCAATTACAACTGTTAGACTGATTGTCGATGTTTGTTCCTTCCACAAGTTGACGCTGCTCCCCCTTCATTCCTTCTCCCCACGCTAACTTTACGAACTTCGAGACAATGAACATCATGAGATACTTCTTCTAACGTTGGAGAAAACGTTTATCTTGTATCTCCCATCCTTATCAGGGAATGGTCTCCCGATCTATAGCATGTGTGATAGTTTGAAATCATTTACCTTTATATGTATACTTACCTTACCGTATACATGTTGTGAATTCTCATGTTTCGAATTAATATATTCCATGTTTCCGTATATCCAGGATAAAAGGATTGAGTAAGTCAGTTGAGCATTGATTTCACGTATATACAAACATAATCGGCTTAGGTACTGTATTCCAAGGTTGTGTTCACCTTGCTGAAGCCGTTAAAAGTAAGTCCCTAGAATATGTGGAAGATAAACTTGTAAGCGCCCATCATGCTTGTAGCCCGCATATATGCAAGCGGGGGATCAAAAGACATGGATTGATAAATATGATTGGTTGAAATTTCTTGTTTGTACTTGCATTAAAAGCCATAATGATATCGGTTTACCTAGGTACCTAGTCAGTAACTAAAACAACGTTAGGCTACTTTATAAGGTTGATAATATTAGCCTATTGTGGTAAGAGGATATATATTATATATTACAAAACATACCTAGGTACTCGGGTACAGATTTTGTACTCATCGCGACAAGGGAACCAAAGATTTCATTTGTTTTTGTACCCAGTACGAGTATACCTACCGAATATATGTATCTATTCGCGACAATAATAATGTCATATTCATAATACTCTTGTAACGCGAGTGAAGAAAACCAAAAACAATAAACAAACAAACAACAAGGGCTCCCTTCTCTTATCCGTCCATACTGGCTGGGTAAACATCATCCTGCCATCCATCCATCCTGATCCTCGCATCCTCCCGTCCTCGCTCCATCTTTCCCCCACAGGTAAAATCAACCCCCGCTGATGTCCACGCGCGAAAATCACAAAACGACTACAGTACCTACTAGGTACCTAGTACAATACTCAATATTGAATCTTCTTCGAGACTCAGAGATGTGACTTTGCGGCACAGCGCTTCCCACAACAGGTACTTCCAAACCCTACCTACCCTACCGGTATCTTTTGCATCTGAGCGTGTAAAATTTTGTTATTATTATTATTTTTGGCTACACGCATCCACGCATCCACTCTTTTTACTAAACTCTTTACGATCAAAGTATTATTTACTCCCTTGTGGTGCCAACAATTTTCTACTAAAGTCACAAAGCCTTGAGCTTGGAACTCCCCTCCGCGCCAGAGCTTCCACCATACAGCCTCAGCCTTTTTCGATCCACTCCCAACGTCTGTAGCTGTGAGTGGTAACCCCTCCCAGACCTGGGTTGTAAGCATTACCATCTCTTCTTTATACTTGAACATCGACGTCCCGGCCAGACAATCCTCTTTGAACAGTGCGAGCTTCTTATCTTTTTATTGGAGCCTATAACTACCATAGAAATGGCAGTAGAAAGTCCATTGCTTGCCTCGCCTGTCAACGTCATGTCAGCCGTCTCTCCATATACAGACTTCTCTCTATCACCATGTTCTCCTTCAATTCAAAGATCTCCATATTACCAATCGCTGTACGTAGCACCGTTTCAAAAACCGACCTTGCTAATAATATCACACAGATCCGCGCGAAATTACTCGGGCTCAACCCTTCAACCAACTCACATGGAGGACGGCCTCTCTCCTGCGAGTGCGCACCTAATTAGTCCAATGAGTGACATGGTGGGACCTTCGCCAGTGACCTCAAATGGCACTACAACTACAGATATTGAGGATGAGATGGCAGATGAAGCTATGCATCATGAGGAAATACCTAGAGCCGACTCACAACTTACCGTTGGTGCTCTGCCGAAAGTAAAAGCACCCTCGCTGATATTGAAATAGTTGAAAAGGCTCAGCACAAATCTACCGGAGAGGTTCCGTGCTTCCATCGAGGATGAGTCTGTGTCTGTCATCCATGCCCCTGAGGGCTACGCAAAATTTGTGAGGGAACAGAGCTCCAAGATGAAGACTTGATGGCTGATGCATTACAGCTGTTTAGTGATGCGACACCAGTACAATCGGCAAAGTCACTTTTGGATCGTTCCACACCAACTCCGTACCAACAGTCTAGAAGCTCAAGAACTAGCCCAAGGACGAGCCCTCGTACCAGTCCTACATTTCATCAAAAGACCAGTCCGAGAACCAGTCCTAAAACTAGCCCTAAAACTAGTCCAAGTACGAGCCCAAGAATGAGCCCAGACCACCTTCAGGTTGATGAGCATGCGCACAAGGTAAAAGCAACTTCCATTACATGAAATCGCTGATCTAACAAATGACATAGTTTATCGAGCCCAGTCTGGTTTCACCTCCACCGATCTCTACAGATATAAGACCGATCAGATTCGGTTTAGATAATCAAACACCTCGAGCACAAACTCGCCAAGAAGTCGAATCGTTTTCGGAAGAGAGACGACCATCTCGACCAAGCAGTCTCGAAGGTATAATCGAAGAAGAAGATATGAGGATGTCTTACTCACTCGATGTAGGAATTCCGGAAGAACTGCTCAAAGATTTTTCGGAAGACGATTTCGATGCTCGGACAGTTCACAATGCGGATGAGGAGATTACTGCCTTGAAGACGGCTTTGAACGAATGTTGGACTCTTTGCAATACGTTAGCCAGTCTCAGTTCCATCCACCGTGAAAGAATATTCAGCTTTTCTGGGTCCGGCGATGCTCACGAAAAGGCTTGGAAATGTTGTTGGAGACTGTGCAAGAAATTGTACGACAGTCGTGACGAAGATCATGAAATTCATGTTAGGCCAACACTCGATCTGTGTAGAGATTTTTGCCAATCTCTATTTGATGTCCGCCAAAAAAAGGATGAGGTAGCTGATTCAGTATTGAGGGTCAGCTTCGAATTAAGCAACCACTTATACAATACACACGATCGCAATCTCCCCGAAGCTTTCCGAGAAAGAACTCTGGATTTTTACATAACCTTATGCCATCGTCTCATGAAACAAAGAAGTGAGCTTGCTGAGGAGACTGATGCTCTTCTCCGTGCTTGTTGGAGCTTGGCTGAAATGCTTTTCAGTCTCCGGCAAAACAAAAGAGAAGGAAAAATGGCAGATGAAGAGCTTCTTGGATCTGCTGTTCAAGCTTGCTGGGAGTTATGTGACCTTTTCCGAGAAGGTTGGACACAAGTCCGTCCTGAGCGGGGTACACCCCGCCCATCCCAAACGACATTTAGGGCAGCATCTGATCAAATGTCTCGCTCATCACACACCAAATCTAGTAGTCTAGCTTCGCTATCGGAGAATCCTGATGAACATACACCTACAAGATATGTCATCCTACCTGAAACCCCGACGACCGATTTTGAAGACACCCCTATCACACCCGAGGAGGACTCGCCGAACATCCCCAACATCATGGTTCTAGGTTCGGAAAGACCCCCACGATGGTCATCCGCCGCTTCTTCACTTTCTGGATACTCTCAAGAAAGTGGTGCTAGCACAGTGACCAATGGGAATTTGCCCGAGGACCTCAATCTGACACGACTCAAGATACTGATTTTGAAAGCTTCAATGAATGTGGGGTATTCAAGAACAGCAATTTCTTCTACGGGATCGCCCTTGAAACTTCAGAATTTTGTCAAGGCACTACCAACTGGTTCCTTTGGCTCATTACCAGCACATGCGAATCTACTTTCATCATATCGAAACCTAGTATTGAGCGATCCTACTTTCAGAAGTCCAAGTTCGTTACCTCCTCCAGGAAAGAAAGTTTCGGCGCCTGATCTCGCCAAGAGTGTTAGTTGGATGATGAGAGCTGGACAATACACATTTTTGAAAGATTTGTTCAGAATGGTGTTCGGTTTCCGTATTGATGAAGCCGATTCTCGAAAAAATATCAGCATCTCAGTATGAGGAGGATGTGTTGTTACGAACGAAAAGCGGCTGAATTTCGCTCACCATACTCCCTCCTATACTTGCCAAATTGGAATTTTGCTGTTAGCTCCAAAGTGGCTCGCGCTTATTTGCTAGGTATTTGATATTACAAGCTGCGAGTTTGTCACAAACAATGCATGCAATGCCATTGTTTCAAATCTTGGGAATGTCTCACGCGGTCATGTCCCAGACGAAGTCATTGTCGTAGGCACATTGCAGCTTTGTGTCTATGGGAACGTTGGTTGCAACTTGATGCTGCTCAACACTTTACATACCGGTATGCCTTTTTCTTTTCATGAACATCATGACACGACTTTGTACGAAATCGAAATCGAAATCGAAATCGAAATTAACGACATTGGGGATTTGGGAGGCTAGTTTATCTATTTTTTTGATACCCTGGCTGTAAGGTGTTGTGGCGCAAAAAGGAATTGTTTTTTTTTCGTTGCCTCGTCTCGTGGATATGTTTTTTATATGATGATCATAGTTTCTTTACATACTAAGTTATATATACTTGAAAATTTATACTATATTTACTACTTAGATTTCAGAGCATCTACTTCAAGGTTTCCCTTTATTCTTTACACATTCCCCACCATGCTTCTTTTTATGAACTCTTTTCCACTACTCCAGATCGTAGGTGTGTAGGTATTGTAGTTGCTGGCAACGTTCACAGGGACTCTCCGGTGAATGTTGATCAAGTCTGATAACGACGCCCTGGTGTTATTTAGTTGACCTTGGAATTACGCATGTATAATCGAGCATTAGTTTGTTATATACAGCATACTAATAGACGTATATTATATTATATTACGTCTGCTTATTTAGGTATTTTTTTTTGTTCTACATAAGTCTACTACCCTGCTTTCGGGCCACTCTTTCACACCAAAAACAGTGATTTTTAACTTTTATAACTTTTTATTCAATAGATATAATTGAATGAAATTTTAATCATAGATTCTGTATATAGTTATTAGGCTAAGTACAGATTTTCAGAGTTTTAGCGATTTTATATAAAAAGTTATTAAATATTAAAATTCAAGTTTTCATTTTATATACGATTTGTATATAAAATTAAAAATATCTAATAACTTTTCAATATAAATGAACAAAAATAATCTATTAATCTTTTTAAAATATTCGATAGCTAAAGACTTGATATCTAGCTTTTTATTGTAAATTATATTATATATTTAGAGTTTTATTAGTAATAATCGTTTTTTTTGATCAAATTTTTGATCAAAATTGTGACCAAAAGGGTATAAACAGGACTCCGATTGTGTAGTTAGAATCTACAAGTGAAGAACCATGTAGAGTGCTAAAAGAAAGACTATATATACAGGTATTTGGGAGCTATAAGGGCTAGGCCCAGAAGAGTGAAAGAGTCCTAGAGATAAGTATTATATAATACTTAGATCTAGAGCTATAAAGCTAGGGCTCTAAAACTATGAAAGGAAGGTTCAAAAAGAGCTATTATATTATGTTATATATATAGTATAAGCCAGTAGATGGAAGAGAGCCGTTTATTCTATTATATTACCCCTTTCTTCG